GGGCTGGGTGGGGGGGGCGGGGCAATTTGATGTATTTAGACATAATAGTATAGAATTGTAACATCGGCTATTTATCGGTTATTGGCCTTAATATAGAAATAATTATCAGCTCATTGGGGGGGGGGCAATTTGACCTATTTATACAAACCGCATAGAATTTTAATATCGGCAATTTATCGGTTACTGGCCTTAATATAGAAATAATTATCGGCTTATTGGGGGACAATTTTATTTATTTAGAAAAAATAGCATAGAATTGTAACATCGGCTATTTATCGGTTATTGACCTTAACATAGAAATAATTATCGGCTTACAAGCGTTGGTATTTAAACATAAATATATAAGATTCATCATATTAATCAGTCCCTCTAGTTTTCGCAATTCTGTGATCGTGGAATCAGCAAAATGTCAGGTTTTTTTTGCATTCTTGCATAATTCACAATTTAACCACAAAATAATTACAAAAGCACAGTACTACTTATGTGTAACAATGAAACATGCATGAATGAGAAAAAAAAAGACAATAAAGAACTCAATTCTCACTGTATTTGCTTCTTTGTTCTTATTTTTAATAACAAAAATAAAATAAAATGACAAAGTAACTATATCTTGTTTTTTTTATTTCTCAGAATTTGGTAAGACATGAAAATAAACAAGCTTTTTGTTTGGTTTAGTAGTTTGTTTTTGTAGTATCCTAATTATTAATTTTCCACAAAATTCTGGAAATTACTGCACGAGATTTGCACGAGATTTGATCACAAAAAACACAAAAATATTGTGAAATCCTGGTGGGACTGATTACTTTCATATCAAGACACCTTCCCTCTGTTATGTCATAGCAGACAGCTGAGCCAGTGAGATTTTATTTTATTTTTTCTGAATTTCAAAGATCAAAGTACTTTTCATCTTCAGCACAGCTAAATATAGCTAAAGCTCGGTGTTTTCCGATCCTCTGTGCAAGTGTAATTTACTCTCACCCGGGCAGATGAAGGAAAGGAGAAAGTCCTTAAAGGAAGCGAGACAGTGTCTACCACACAGCTACAAAATCAAAAATATCATTAACACGAGTTCACATGTTGACAGAATAAATGCGTTCACAGATCCGAATGAGGTCAACGTATCCATGGAGAACCGAGATGTTTAGCTATTTATGGAGACGTGTGAGAGTTTGAGAGAACGCTTGTATCCTTATTACCTGCACATGATTTCAATTTTCTGTGTTAAACCTGATTGTGGTAATGGCAGATTTGAACCATTCTGTATGAATGAATGTCTTACTAGAGATGTTGACAATACGCAAAAATGACAAACTACCTTCATTGTTAATTAACAGCTTTCACGAAGGCTTTTAAAACGGGTCTATATGATAAAACAGTAGATCAAACATTGCACTGACGGTATCAGAGCCACAAGGCGTTGACGATGTAAGTCAAAAATATGACTTTGTCGAGCCAGGCCGCGGTTGCCATGGCAACAATAGGGAGGCTGATCGATTCCCCTGCCGTACGTATGTATCCAGGAGCTCCTCACGAGCCGCATCAAAGACAGATGGAGAGAGAGGAACTACACAGGTGTTTAGATTTTGTGCTTCTAGAGCCTGACAATATGTCGAATATCATGATGATGATTCACTATGATTTTGCCGCCGATATAAACTGACGTAATTCCAATGTTTTTAATACACTCTGTAATTAATTTCTGCAAATCAGTTGAAAATGCACATTTCAGTTGATTTCATCTGTGAAGTGGTTCAAAAGTGAATGAGATTAAGCGATTCATTTGCGTCTTCAAAATTCACAGAAGTTTTTGGGTGGCATTTTTGAATATGTGTAGAAAAACACTGTTTTTAAAATTTATTTTGTTATTTACTTATTTTACTTTTTTTTTTTTTTTGGTGCATTTAATTACAAAATGTAATTTAAAAAAATATTATATGCAAACTGTTTTATTTTTTATTTTTAAGTACAAAAATCAGCAAGTTCACATATATTATCAAAAGTCTTGCAAATTTCATAAAATCAATTTTTGAAATTACATTTGAATGTTTTGCATATGTAAGTTGCCTTACAAAAAATAAATTGCTAAATATATATGATATGTTTATGATAAAAAACACTAAATAATCCAACAGATTTCTACATATTTTCACATAGAATATCTAAATGAATATGGAGACAACATAAAGACAATATTTTACATATTACATATTTAAATATTTATTTAATTATATTTTTACTAAGTACTATGAATGAAGGCCAGTATCACCAATACCAATACTAATTACATGTTTTTTTCTGGGGATAATAATAATAATAATAATAATAATAATAACCATTACAATACAAATAAAAGCCAGGCCTAAATAGCTAATTATCAAATTTTGTTTTTTATATACAGCTTTATCCGTATTATTTATTTTTATTAAGCTACAAAACATTTTATACCAACTTTTTAACTTAAATGAACTTTGAATTCACATTATTCACATAAACCTATTATTATAAATGTGACATTTATTTGTGCCTTTTATATAGCGTGTTTGGTGACGTTTCAGCTCTCGCTATTTGTTTGAATGAGAGCTGGCAGTTCATCTTTTCCTCACTTTGAACTTTATTTCACGCATTCATTTTCACAATAAATAAGTAATAAATGCTCGGTCGGTTTTCAAAAAGCAATGTGCTATCAAGCAAGAATGCATTGAAGAGATGAACCGAAAATAGAGTGCATGCCATTAAATGACCATTAACTATCTCTATCTTTCCCAACTGACCAAAATGGATCAATGGAAAAGCTTTTATGGACTTTAAGCTGACCACTCTCTTTTCATTCAAACAACCGCTTGTATTTCATTTTAACTAGTTTTCTGCCATCATACTTATATATTTTTAAAGCCTGCTACTTTTTTGCATGGAGAAATGTAGGCTTTTATCAGTTGTTCTGTCATCTGTCCTAGGGTTACACCTAAAAACAATTCAACAAATGGGTCAATAACACCCTTAAAGGGTTAGTTCACCCAAAAATGTACATTTTTTCAAGTGATTATTATGTTTTGAATATGGATATTTTTCTTACAAAAACGCATCGCTTCGCTACAGAAGGCCTTTGTTCACCCCCCGGAGCCGTGTGAGACACTTTTTTTTATGGACGGGCGCTTTTTATTCAAGTTCTTTTGGACTGAAGCAATGCAACACCCGCGGAGTGGCATTAAACAGCTTGAAAGATCAAAGACAATTTTTAATATAACTCCGACTGGATTCGTCTGAAAGAAGAAAGTCACATACACCTAGGATGCCTCGGGGGTGAGTAAAACGCAGCCTAATTTTCATTTTTGGGTGAACTAACCCTTTAAGGCCTGTCAATCAGCCTACTGAACATTACCATATCCTCACCCTGGCATTCAGTGTCTTGTTAATCGCGTTTAAGGTCACTTTAAATCAAAGATGCTAAACAATAACCGCTCTGACAGCAAGAGTTGTCATTTGTGTTGCGCATTGGCCTGATGACCTGACTGCGCATTTTAATGAGACGAGAGGACCTAAAGGAGACCAGATGGCTGGTGGTCATCATTTAGCCAATCACAATGGGTTTGTGCTGTCAAAAACATACAGCTCAATGACCAGCTATCGAATAAATCCGGATGTCAGTGTCAATCTAGATGTCAAGCTAAAACCAATATGATAAACATGAATACGAGACTACATTAATGAGCACCATACAGTCAGATTCAGGATACAAAGTGAGCTGTCAAGATGAAATTAGGAGATGATTCCTTTTGTCACATTGTTGTTCACCACAGTTTCAATTAACACTTTTGAACTCTGGGACTCATACATCACACTTTGGTTCTTGCTAATTGATATTCTGCCTGATATTCTTATGTCAAGTTGCACTGCTAGTCAATCCATTTGTGAAAAAGAAGTGTACCTAATTGTACTGAACAAGCACATGTTGTGTAATTCAAATCTTCAAAGTATATATAAAAAAAAAAATAAAAATACTGGACTTGAAGATAATATAATTATTAAAATAAAAGGCCACTTAAGTGCATTCATGTCCACTTTTAAAACGTCCAATCTGCAATCATGTCAAATTAAAAGTTTTACTTAAAAATATAATTTAAATCATTATGTTTAATAATCTTTTGTCATGCTTTAAAGAAGTTCATTTATTGTAATGTGTTGACTAACATACTAAACGACAGAAATGACATTAAAGTATATTTTAGTTTTCTAAATGCTTGTCAACACACTTGTATAGTATATTTAACCATACTTCAAAGGAAGTTCAACAAATTGCATTTAATATAGGCCTAATAATACATTTAATTTAATCGCAAATAACATGCAGTTAAGTGTCTGAAGACATTACATTCACTTCACACTTCATATTCTTTTAAAGAATGTTATTTCTGCAATAATAAGTACTCTTTTTTAAAAATTTGCTAAAGTGCCCTTCTGTTTTAGTTTTGACATATAAATGCAAAAACATATGTATATGTATATATTGATAGATTCAGACACATTAATTGGATGGTAACCATTACGGTATGCTACCATGCAGTACTTGTTTTGTTAGTGTTGGATAACATTTTAGTGGATACAATTAATAAACAGCACTTACTTAACATGAGATTGTTTATAAAGTGACATGTTGCAATTGTTGAATATTAACATTATGTAACATAATATAATACAAAATCCTAATTTTAGGGGTCTGCATGAGCAAAGTGCATTTATTAACACACTAAATTTTACATTATAAAATGCATTCGTATTTAAATCTATATTTTTACATTTACATATGTTTGATATCAAACGCATTCAATGCAACACATCGGAAATCAAATCAAGAGACAAAGATGATGGTGGAGAAAGAGAAACACGCCACCTACCTGTACCAAAGGCTTTGGCCACCAGCCATTTGAGGCTGGCTCTGGTTTTAGCTCTATTAAAATCATAATGATCATAAGACTTGATGGCAGGAACAATGCAAGTCTTTTTCGGATCTCTGGAGTCGGTCAGATCTCCCATATTCACATCCAGCACTTACAACGATGACATCTCTCCGAAGGAATTCAACGCATCAAATCGGACTTTTGCTTTTTTTCTGTCACACACAGATCAGATTTTGTAACATACATGTGTCAGGTCGCTGTTCAAACACCCGGTTGGGCTTATTTTCACATCTATTTCGGGCCGATCCGGTAATAAAAGTGGGGTTCTGCCCAGAGAGTTTCATCCATTCTGGTACCCCATATGAATTCGGCTGTTTTCTCCTCAATGATCCTCTACGTCCCGCGTTATAAGAGGCAGTGGAGGTGTCGCTATCTAAAAAGTCTTTGTCTTCTTTAGGACGTCGCCATGCTCTACCCACATATTCCCATCTGGACATTTACGGTTATTGTCCCTCTATTCATCCAGTGTCCTGCGGTCTCCGTGCTGCTGCAGTGTGAGAGTGAGCTGTCTGCGCATGCGCGCTCCGCCCAACACGCCAACAAACCCAAAACTGGCAGAAATAGGGTTGTGGCTAGAAGGGATACCGCAAAGACCGGAAGCTAACAATAAATTGAATTTTCTACCTATTAGATTGTGTTTTATTAACGTCTACACCTACCCCAAACCTAAACCTACCCCTTACAATAATGCTAATAATATCGTTGAAATATTATTATTATTTATTACAAGCAGATATAAGTACAGTAGTACGTGTCATTAATAAATACAAAAAGCACAATGATTTTCCCAAGTGAATTTCATAAATCTAGATTTCAGGTTTGTCTCAATAAAGAATAAATAATCTTACTCACCTTTAATTCTTGCCAAATATAGGCTACATGAAGATATACATACCCAGATTCCCAGACGTACGTCTGTAAGATGTCTGTTAAAGATCGCTTCATGTTCACGTTGTGTACAAACATCTGATCTTTAAGATGTCAGTTTTACATTCATTCGAAATCATAAACATCTTAAAGACATTTTCTAAACGTCTATTCGACATCTGATAGGAAACGTCCAATAGACATATTGCAGATGAGCAAACACTCTTGTACGTCTTGTAGATGTAAATGCAGACATCACATTGTCCTCTCTGTGATGTATGTGTGCTATCAGGGTAATATATCCTTTATATAATCATAATATTAATAGTTTTAAAAATACATGTTATGAACTGATATAATAAGCATAATATTACCGTACAGAATTAAACAGATGAGGAAAATGCACAACATTTGGTTTCTGATAAACAGTTAAAATCCCTAAAAACTACAACACCCAGCTTTACTGTCGCGTTTAGATGACGTCACATTTACGCGACCGCTTGGAAACGATTCTGTTCACAGATCTGTGGTGAAGTATGTGACTTAAAGCGTTTCCAAAAGATATGTAACCAACGTTTTCCTTTTTTCGTTTATTTAGGTTTCGTTAATATCGTTGTGGTGAATGTGGGCAGAAAATGTTTATGCCGCGATCGCTGAAGGTCAAGAGAGCCCCAGAGTCCCAGCAGCAGCAGCAGCAGCACCCCAAGAGAAGCAAAGCGACATCCGAAGACACTGTTTCTACGTCTCCACCTGATACCTGTCCTCCAGATGAGACTGTACATATAGAAAAAGAGGAGGAACCCCATCAGATAGAGACTGAAGAAGCAGATGAAGAGGAGGAACCAGTGAAGTCCTTCAAGAAGAACCAGAGATGGCCAGAGCCAGGAGAGCCCGTGTGTGTCATGTGCGGTCGATATGGAGAATACATCTGCGATAAAACAGACAACGATGTCTGCAGCCTGGAGTGTAAAGCTAGTCATCTGGCTAAAATGTGCTTGGATTTCGGAGGGAAGGTGTTTTCTATAGATCTACAGGAGGGTTCAGAGAGCTCTAGTGCAGCAGACACTGAGCTCAGTTACTCTTACAAGGAGGATGCGTTCATATCTGAACTGACTGAGGAGCAGGTTGAGAGGGTTAAAACCGAGCTGGCGATAGTGACTGCTGGCACTGAGGTCTGTAGACCCATTATAGAGTTTGAACACTGTAACTTTCCCACAGCGCTCAGGCTCAACCTGAAGAAAGCCGGGTATGAGGCTCCCACTCCCATCCAGATGCAGATGCTGCCTGTTGGTTTGAATGGCAGAGATGTGATTGCCTCTGCAGATACAGGCTCTGGAAAGACAGTTGCCTTCCTTCTTCCAGTGGTCATGCATGCTCTCCAGGTAAATATTGGGCTGTGTACTGATTAACGTACTGATGTACTGATTACTGTACTGAATATCTTAAGTAGTGCTACATGAAAAAGAAAAAAGCTTACCAAAACAAAGTTACTGGGTTAATCTTTTTCATTGTGTTATTTATAATTTTTTGTTTGTTTATTTATTCATCATTTATACTTTAATCAGTGTTGTTATATATATATATATATTAATTCTTAAAAACTCCAAAGGCGGATACCATGCTGAAGATGGGATTCCAGCAACAGGTTCTTGAAATTTTGGAGCAGGTCCCTGAAGAGCATCAGACGCTGTTGACGTCAGCCACCATTCCCAAAGGAACAGAACAGCTAGCGGCTCGTCTCACCCGCGAGCCTGTGAGCATTACCATCGGTCAGAAGAACCAACCCTGCGCCAACGTCCGTCAGATCGTCCTCTGGGTGGAAGAGCCGTCAAAGAAAAAGAAGCTCTTTGAGATTTTAAATGTAAGTATACTGTAGAAACCCTATTTGCTGTCTTGTTGCATGTGTTATTGTATTTTGGTATTATTGTGCAATGCATGATTCATCTGACAACAGGAAATGTGTCACATTACGTAAGTTGATTTAAAAAGAATATTCAGGTTTAAAAATAATCTGGATTGAATGCGTCTGTGGCCTGCTGTCGACTGACTTGTGGACAGAAATGCAGTTAGTGGAAGTCTATACGGCAATCTTTGCCCTCCTCTCCAGAGGAAATGGGTGGGTCCTCAATTTGCTTTGTTCCAGGAAAACTAGCAGCGGCTCTTACCAGAGACCGAGAGCAGGAAATAGAGCATTTATAAATCACAAGCTGTGGAAATAAAATGACTGCCCTCAGGAAAATTGTAAATTGAAATAAATATTATGTAATAATATTATATTATATATAATAGTATATATAATATAATGTATAATAATACTATAATATATATCTTACATTTTAGAATAATTGTCTGTCAGAAATATGAAATAACCAATAAATATTAATTAATAAATATGAAACAAAATGAATGATTAAATAAACAAATGCAATTCTTTATTAATATTATATTTAATAATTTAGAATAATTATTCATTAATATTCTGTTTAATAATTTAGAACAATTTCCCATTGATATGAAATAACAATTTATATGAAGTCATACATATAAATAAAAAAGAATAAAATAAGAAAATAAATTCTTTATATTATTATTTAATAGTACATTAAATAATGTCCATCAAAATATGATATTAACATAATTGATAAATATGAATTCATAAATATTGAATAAATAAAAAATATATGTAATATTTTAGAATAATTTCCCATCAGAAATATGAAATAATAATTGATATATATGAATGAATAAATTATTTATTAATATTATAATTAATTATAAAAAATTATTGTCCATCAAAATTGGAATAACAACTGCAATTTTTTCTGTAAGTTAAAAAGAAATAAATATATTCAACACAAAAGAAATGATTTTTTTTTTACATTGTTTCATTTATACTTCATTTATATTATATTTTTGGATTTGTTTTCATTACAATATTATCTACATCATGAATTTTTGTGTGCTCAGGACAGAAAGCTGTACCAGCCACCGGTAGTTGTGTTTGTGGACTGCAAACTTGGGGCCGATTTGCTGTGTGAAGCTGTGCAAAAGGTCATGGGATTAAACACAGTCGCTATTCACTCAGACAAGATGCAGTGGGAACGCAACAAAATTGTAAAGGTAATGAAAAAACTCTTTTAAAAAATGATATTATATTAGTTGGTATAAATGTATACATGAAATAAACAAATAAATAAACATAATATTGTTGGTGTTTTTAGGGTCTACTTGAGGGCCAGTTTGAAGTGGTGGTCAGCACTGGGATTCTCGGTAGAGGACTGGACCTGGTCAATGTTAAGCTTGTAGTGAACTTTGACATGCCAGCTAACATGGATGAATATGTTCATCAGGTATGGCGTATTTCATAAATAAACGTACACATTGAAGCATCTCATTTCTTTAATGATGACACACTATGTTTGAACCTTTCAGATTGGTCGAGCAGGTCGACTGGGCCACAGAGGCACCGCCATCACCTTCATGAATAACAACAACAAGCGGCTGTTTCTGGACATTGTGAACAGAGTGAAACCCACGGGCTCCATCCTGCCGCCACAGCTCCTCAACTCCCCACATCTGCACGAACAGCAGAGGAGAGCCACACAGAGGAGCAGCCGTGGAGAAGACGTCCTCGTATCCAAGAGCAACCTCATCGACATCATCAGGAAGCATGACAAAAGATCTGCCAAGAAATAACAAGCAAATATATGTATTGCTAAATGTTTTGTTGCTGCTTTTGTAATTTGTATTTTCAATAAATGCTACAAGTGAATGAAAAAAACGTCCCTTCTGATTGTCTCCAGTATAATTACACACACAATAATAATGTCAACCCACATGGTAGAAATGTTAGTAATGTTAAAAATACTAGGATAAAAACCTGTTAATTGCTTACTGTACCTAATACATTTGTTATTTTATATGCCAATACATGTACTTTTACTGTCAAGTATTGTAAAATGTTTGAGATAATAAAATTTAAATTAGCAGAGAAAGTCAAATTTAACACACACACACACACATATATATATATATATACACACACAC